TCTGAACTTTATAGCTAGATTTTGATGTTGTTTAGTTTTAAAAGCTCACGATGTAAGTAAATAATATTGAAATCGTAATTTTCCGCAAAAGATAATGCAATTGTTAAATATTTTACAAATATCATCATATACAGTATTAAGGGTAGGTAAAGATTTAACTTATTTAGTGTAAAACTTTCTTATATAGGTGTTAGATATTTTACAATATAATAGTTTTCATTTTATTAAAGTAGAGATTTAAACATATTAGTTTGAATTATTGTACTGTTTGTGATTAATTTAAATGGGTATTTTCCTTGTTTATGAAACATAAAATATCAAAGGGACAGCTTGACTCGGCGTTTCCTGTCCTGTGACAAACATCCGGATCCGAGAGAGAAAAGGAAATTGTGTGAAAATGGAATGAGAAAACTAGGAAAACAACCCCTTTACCAAACTACCCAAGTTATGCCTGATCTTTTACATGAGTTTTTTTAAGGGAGAGAGGTAAATGTTGATCACAATAAAATTCCATGACTCAAATGTAATTATAGTCATAAAAACGTTTCAAATTTAATGTTATTCCTGAATTTTGAGGTTTTTTATCTATATGAATAAATTTGAGTTTTTTTTCTGTACATTGCGCAGAGTTATATATTTTTTGTTATTTTTACGTGTTATACAATAAAAAACGAATCAAGTCTTATCTCAATTTCACAAGATCGAGTTAATCAAGAGGTAAATCTTACAACAGATGTCAGTTGTGAGAGTATCAGACTGTACTTGGTGGTGACACTCATTGTAAGAGCTGCTACTCCTTAGATCAAGAGCAGCACTTAGAATCAAAATCATCCACTACATCAGCGATGTAACTAGAATTGTGTTAAGATGTCATCACTTTCGCAATTATTGTACAATTTTATACGTTTGAGCAACATTTTGAATTATTGTTTTGAGTTTTTTTTTATCAATATTTAGGTAATTGATCTACACAATTGACAACCAAGACTCTTCAAGGGAGAAATTTTTAGTTTGTAAACATTCCCTATGCTTTCCTATTTCATACAACGGACATAGCAAGATTGTGAACTGAATAATAAGGGAAATAGATATAATAGATAAGGAAAAATATTGTTTAGTTTTACAAATAAATATCTTAAAAGACCAATCATTATACATGAGGAGCGAACTGGTCTAGTTGCTGAGCGTGGAGGATCCCTGAGGTTCGTCAAATCACGGTATTGATCTAAAGTGAGCCGCAACCCTAGGTCTAGGCTGAAGTAATGTGATTTCGATTCCGGAATAGAGCCTATCGTACTATGAAAAAACTTGATTAATTATATTCTTCTTCAGAATTCATTTACAATGCAGTGGCATTTTGATTGTTCTGATTATCGTTAATACTCCAGATTTATTTTACAAATAATCATAATGTTGAAGGCCTCAATAATTCTCTTTTTCTCTCCTACCTAGTAACTTTACACTTGCTACAGAAATCCAACTATTTTCAAACAGTAATTTAATGGCTATATAATTTCTATACTCTAAACCATAACGCGTGTACGGGAAAACTTTTATTTTCGCCAAGGACTTTTTATTTTTCTTTTATTGAATATTAGGACGCGATAAATCGATTAAAGTTGGTGTCACAATGCTGGAAAAATCCGCTTTCTGTCCTATGACCCTTGATTTAATTTTTGATATAAGTTTGGATTCAATAAGTAACTTATTTAATAAATTTTTGATTGAATCTGAGCAAAACTCGGTCTTCCGGTATTTATTAAAAAATACAAATACAACAAGCTTTTGAATTATTAGAGGATTAAATTAAATGTCTCTATTAAAACATTCTTCAAATTCAGGTTATCTCTGTTTTTACCTTTATTAAATAAAGTTACAAAAATAATTTGCTCCATTCATAGCAAAACTTACTTTGATCAAATTAAAGACCAAAGTTTTCATTTTCCTAATGTGTTTATAGCACAAGTCTTGTGTAGAATACTACAATTGGATAACTTGTGACTGAATTGTGGCATAGTCTCTTAATCAATAGGCTATCCAATAGATTTCCAGGGTTTCCATAAAATAATAGAGGGGTTTCACTATGAAATAAAAAGAAAACTAGTGAAGATACAAAAACAATATTTGTTTTGTTGAGTTCCTGACATCAAACAGATTTTACACGTAGCTAATAAACTTCAACATGGGCCCTTTTCTTGCTGTACAGACATCCAAAAATGATATATTTCAGCTCACACGTTGTGAAACATTTCTCTTGTTACAGTTGACCCTACATCTCTAATTCTTTCTCTTAGTAGGCCTAATTTTGATTTTTTTTTTTTTTTTTAATAAACAAAGTTTTCTAACATATCTCTAAAGAAAAAATCGCAAAGAGACAGGACTATGCTTATTGGAGGCCATGCTATAGGGCCACATCTGCTAAACCACCTGTTTGGGAATTTAACATTTAAGGCATCTCGAACAATGGTTTTACGAGTATAATGTGGAGGGGCTCAATGCTGCTGATAATGAAGACTGTTTGCATTTTCCATTCCATCAAGTTGAGGAAACTCCGACATTTTTTGACTTCCTTCACAAGTTAACATTATGTTTTAAACTGCCTCGTTCGAGACTGGTGGTCTACCAGGCCTACTTTGCTTTTTAACTGACCCAGTGTTTATGCACTGCTTACTCCAACGACGAATGTTGTTTTCATGACGTGGAGCTTTTTTATTGTTCTTCTAAATGCCCGACTAGAGTCACTGACTTTAGTTCACTAAATAACTTTATACATTTAGCCTAATCATGATCGGCAAACATGCTTGTAAAGAAAACCCAACATATCTAAAGAAGTTTATTAAAAGAATGAGTAGGTTGCCAATCAGCACAACAATCGACACAGCTGTTTTAATTAATGTAAACAAAACTGTTTGAGCTACTGGATGCAGGGGTACCAATATAAAATATTTAATTAGTCTTATAATATTCCTACAGACAGTTAAAACCCCACCATTATTTTATGAAACCCCTGTATTATACAGGGTGTTTTATTTTTAAAACTTGCATCTTTATTTATGTAAAAACCGCAATAGATAGAAATATGCAGTTTGCGGGAATCATCTATTGACGTAGGGGGCCCAATCTTTTTGAATTCAACGTTACATTCACATTCCCCCCCCTTTTCCCCCCTTCCACCAACTAATTATTTTTTTTAAATAGCAAGGTACCCCTTATGACATATCAAATAAAAGAGCATGAAAAAAGAAAATGTTTGATGAAAAAAATTGAAATCGGTTCATAAATTTGCGAGATATATCCCTCCCCCCTCCCCGGAACTTAATTTTTTTTTTATCGCAAGGTCACCCCTTGTGACATATCAAATGAAAGAGCATGAAAAAAGAAATTTTTTGGTGAAATTTATTTTTCATTGATATGTCACAAGGGGGGTACCTTGCTATTTAAAAAAAAGTTATGGGTAGGGGGAAAGGCAGGGGGGGGGGATATCTCACAAATTCATGAGCCGATTCTCAATTTTTGTCACCAAACATTTTCTTTTTCATGCTCTCTTCATTTGATATGTCACAAGGGGTACCTTGCTATTAAAAAAAAAAGTTGGGGGGGGCAGGGGGAGGGGGGAAGGGGGGGAATGTGAATGTAACATTGAATTCAAAAGATTGAGCCCCCTACGTCAATAGATGATTCCCGCAAACTGAATATTTCTATCTATTGCGGTTTTTACATAAATAAAGATGCAAGTTTTAAAAAAAACACCCTGTAATGTAATTAACACCTAAAATGTAAACTATTTTGTATGTAATTTTGTTGTTTCAAGACAAATCATTACAATTGAAAGGAGCATAATATGACTTTCTCTTGAAGTGATAATACACATATTCTGACCAGGTAGCCAATAAGATAATGTTATGTGTTGCTTGCGGGTTTATAGTGAAAATAGCCTAATACTGTAATCCTGGCTTAGGTTCTCTTTGAAATATCTTAAAATCAGCAACCAACACAAGGGTTTAAAAATGGATGATTGTTTTCAAACGTGATAAAGGAAGTCTGGCTTTGTTTTGTATTTGTATTGGCTGTAGGTGTTAGTCATTATTCCTGTCTAAATCTGTTTCGAGCTCGTGTCCATTATTTTTAAAGTTGCCAATTGCTTGCAGATTCTTGAAAATAACTTCTTCAACGTGAATCTGGCAAAGTTATAACAAGCTAAGACTTGACATCGTTAGGTGCCAACTTGTATTAATTAAAGGCAACTTGGAAAAGTTCTTACTGTTAAAATGGTGGAAAATACTTTATTTCAAAATAAAATCTCTGTTGAAACAGCCTGAAATTTAAAAGTTATTAAAAACTACAATATTTTTTAGTTTTGCAATCTTTTGCATTTTCCGTGCGATGAACAATCTGAAATGTATTGGCATGCTGGATAAATATGGTGCGACCGCGTGGTATTCACAGCACAGTAGTAGATGCTAGGAAATCATAAGCATTGTTAAAAATGGTACTTTAACACTATACAATATATTTACTAGAACCATGTAAGGATACAGTAGGAAAGGGGGGGGGGATCGACCATAAATATACAACGTAGTTGTCAAGCTCTCATGTCAAACATTACTCACAAGTAAAGCAAGGGTTTACGACACAAGAGGTCCAGAACTAGTGACGTCACTTCCTGTTTACCAGATCTGTTTACCACATATACACTTTTCCGGTGAAATAATTCTTGTTTTTATTTCTATACTCTGTATGATGGAACATGTCTCCTTACCGTCAACCAATGGCCAATGGATTTTTAAAGCCGGTGCCAGTAACCAGCTAGACGGTCAGGACACAGGTTCCATCATACAGACTATAGGAGAGGAACTAGAACTCGTCGGGCGGCAGTCATCGCCCCAGCGTTGCCCCCCCCCCTTCCCACTCGTCTGGCGACTAATCGATGTCGTCACGCGACAACGACATTTGCCGCTTGCAGTTGGAGGGGGGGGACAAAGAGAGAGTTCAGTGTCGAGGTTGTGCCCGAGCAGAGGCGACTGCCGCGTGTCGCTTGTCGCCGATACAGTGTGAAATGTCTGAACCCAGTCCCACGATGGATTTAGATACGGATTCAACTGGTTATTTTGACATCGATGTTTTCATTGATTGTGTTAAGTCCAGAAGTGTTATCTGGGACACTAGTCATGAAGAGTACAAGAACAGGGAGAGAAAGAAAGAAGAATGGGCAGATATATGCAGGGTGTTTCACGAAGATTTCGACGAGAAGCCAGATGTGATGAAGTATAAAATATGTAAGTACTCGTTATTAGTTATTGTATATTTTTAGATTGATAAAGGCTAATTTTGGAGTGGTTTTCTTCATAAAAAGTTTGATTACAAAAAAAATCAGTTCAACATGGTATCTAAAACATGACAGTAAAATGATAAATAATATAAGAACAAAAGTACATTTTCTAGCATCAATTTAAGTTTTCATCAGTAAAACTCGATTCCAGCAATCCAATTGCTGCGGTGCTCTTGCAAACTTCGTGGATGTCTTTTCCGGAATTCCGGTAAAGCCATTCAAAGACTCAGGATAAAACGAAAGCGAGGTGGGCGACAACTGTGTGTGTTCCGGCGCGACGACCGACTGTGTGTGTTGAGTATTTGAGTAGCAGCTGGTTTGCCGCAGTCGCCGTGGCTGCGTCGCTGCTTGTTTGTCAGCTGATCGATTCGACCATACGTCGTCTCTCGTGAGTCGTGGCTACGACACTGAAACTCGCAGGGGCCGGGGAGCTTGAGATATAGCTCAGTAGCTCAGTGTTGAGGCTGTGCAGGTTATAACAATAGGCAATATTTAATGACAGTAGAGTTTTGCCAACTGCAATTTGAAGGATGTACGTTCTACAACTAATCGTGTAAGAAATCGCGTAATAAATACGTTGGTCGCCCCAAACAAATATGCGTATGTTAAGATCTCAGGGAGGAGTGTTCCACACGCTTTTTGATAAGTTTAAAAATACAATTAAAAGTTTTTATCCTTCCCTATGTAGCAAATAGCTTTCTACGATGCAATGTAATAACACTTTTGAAATGTAACTCAAATGTGCATGGCTTGGCGTTTGTTCCTGAGAAAATAATTCCATTGATACTGAAGTAAGGAAGGTCAACAGTCGTTCTTTTGAGAAAATAAATTCCTCAAACAATTTAATTTTTCAAACAATTTACAAATGATGGAACGTGGTACAAACATAATTATTTGTAGTTATGATAACATATCACTTGTAATTGCAATGAAATATGGAGAATATATAATGAATAGTATGAGTACACAACTGCCGCCCGTTATAAACAGGCCCATTCGATTACATGTATTTAGAGGGAACGAGCGACACCGAAGTTTCTTAAATCTGCCGCTTGATGACGGTCGCTCAGACATTTTATACTGCCACCGTGCATAAATTCCCCAACTTAACTCAATAGACCTAGGAACGCCCAGCGACTGCCGCCGTGCATAAAACCAGCCTTCTCCATCACCACACACACACACACACACACACTCTCTCTCTGTCTCTCCGTCTGTCTGTCTGTCTGTCTAGGGATGAGGACAATGGAACGCTGGGAAAGGGACGTTGCGAGCGCTACGACCCTGTTGCCCTGCTATCGTTTATGTTTTTTCACTGTTCCCGTATGAACATTGGTTTGGCAGCTTGGATGCAAACAACTCGCGTGTGTTTTGTATTATTTTGTGGTCACACCAAACTATTAATTTGTACAATACATAAACCTAATATTTTGTAAGAACTAATCTTAACCCTACATCAAGCAATAACAAATTTCCATACTGGTTGCCAATTTCACTTTTTTTACTGGGTGGCCAGTTTGCAGCATATTAAAGCAATTTAAGAAAACTGGAATCATTGGTGATAGACTAAGGCATATTTAACATCATAAAATACATTCAGAGGAGAATACTACTGGTTTGAGTGTTGTTAGTGTGAACAAAGAGAATAATGTAACATTTTTTTTTGTAATTCGTTTTAGATTATATAGAAGCCCATAGTTTAATTTCAATATATTCTATACCATAATAAAATACGCCCGCCGCAGCAAACCTGCCAACTAAGCGAATTTCTATTTGTCTGAATTGATTTTCAATTAAATCTTTTTAAATAAAATTACGTTTAACGAGTGCCTAGGTTTGCTGCTTCAAGGAAACTAGAAAGTTTGTTTTTAGTAAAATATCAATAGCTTAGTATAAAATAAATAAATTTGCAAAGTTTGATTAAAATGTATCCAAAAACAAACAAACAAATTTTAAAATATTCTCCATACGAATAAATATTCTCCATGGGAATTTTAAGTTACATTTTTTTGAATTTTCTCCGTTACCAATATCCGTACAAAAACACTTTATTATACAGAATTATTTTTTAAGCTCTTTAAAAAGGCCTAAAGAGAAATTGGGAAATTTTGTGTTATCAGGGTCAAAATGAGAAAAACTAATTTTTGCCACATAAACCCCACGTAAAACCCCGTTTTCATGATCCGATCATGCTGGTTCGCGAACGGGGCGATGTCTACTTGTACCGGCGTCTAGTTGTACCTGCTGCATTTTGGTGACAGGCGTCTAGTTGTACCTCGTCCAAAGCTGTAGGTACAACTTGACGATGGTGCGGACGTCTAGAGTTGTACCTACGACTAGTTGTCTCTACGTCTAGTTGTACCTCTTAAAAATCTACAGGTACAACTAGTCGGGTACGCCACCGTCTACTTGTACCTCATACGTCTGCGTCTACTTGTACCTACGACTACTTGTACCTACGACTACTTGTACCTACGACTAGTTGTACATACGCCTACTTGTACCTACGTCTAGTTGTACCTACGGCTATTTGTATCTCCCCTTCAACTTGTCACCAGTTTAAGGGATTTATTTTATTTCTTTAAAAATCATACAATCTTACAACAATTCTTTATAAACAACTTGCTACAAAAGCCAGGAAAATTTGGCTTGTCTGCAGCTCATTGAGAAACCCCTGTTCGTGATAAGAATGTACTTGTGTCCCTTGGTCAGTCCTTATCCATATTACTCTTTGGTTTTCCTCATTTCTTGTCAAGATCTGCGATCATTGTTTTTTCCACTAAAACTCTACCTTTCTATAGAAAACTAACATTGACTAGCTTAAACAACAACTTTAAACAATTATCTTAAATAAATAAATTCAGAGTTTACAAAAACAAGTAATTGAGTATAATGAAGTGTTTTTGTATGGTATTAGTCACGAAGATGAAATCGACCCGTGGTACGATTGCTATTTTTCACCAAACTATACAAAAGGGAGAAAATATATCCTACTAATATTATAAATGAGAAAGTTTGGATGTATGGATGGATGGATGTATGTTTGTGACAAGTAAACTCGAAAAATACTGGTCGGATTGGGCTGAAATTTGGTATGAAGATAGCTCACATTCCCGATTAACATATAGACGCATTCTTAAAGTCCTTTCGGGCTCCGCCCCAGTGGCTCTAGAGTTTTCCATGTTAACCTTATGAGTAATCGTATTTAAAAGGAATAAAAGAATTTTGTCAGCTGTTTCAAGTTGGTTCTATGATATTCAATAGCATTAAAAAGTTACAAGGTTTACCAAAAGGGTGCAGTACTATTATTTTTTTTTACATTTATGACAACAGCTATCCTATTAAAGGCCATAAAGGCATAATTTTGTTTTTAAAAGGCTTGTGTGCAACTATTTTATCAACAGATGTAAAGATCAAAATATTTCTATTTCGTGTTCTCTTCCCGTTACAAAGCATGGGTACAACAGCTAGTCAATAATATAGGCAAGCATGTTTCTTTACAACCTTTTTATCAGATATTGAACATCACAGAGAAAATATCCGCATATCGGTGGAAATGTATTTTCCACAGAATGTCTTTATAAATAAAAATAGGCTAAAAAGACATAAAAAAAGAATTACAAATTTTTAAAAACTAACATGGGTTTAACGGGTTGCTATGCTGGTGACGAAATAACAACTAATTATGAAAATAAAATCAAAACAAATGGAAAAAATTCCAATCACATGTATTATTTACAGTGTATGTTAAATAGAGTAGTCTGTACATTGCATAGTTTTTGTCGAGTTTTCAACCGCTGGACCTCAACTTCATTGTACACTTCATTGTGCATTGTTCACTGGGAAATCCATTGTAAACTATAAGAAATGCACACTAATCAATGCAAATACATTAAGGTTATGTGAAAAAATATTTAAAGGAATCAGCAAAAATAGTAATACATAATTGCTAGGCAGCGGTCTATTGCAATTCATTAAGGATTTACTGCTTGTATATTTAATGGTATATAAATGTTTTAATTAAATAAGCGATTTTCGGTACTAGGGCTGGAAAATTTTAATTACAACTATAGCTGCCATTTCGACCCTGGACAGCAATGCGTAGCTTTCAGCCTCCAATTAACGTCTGTAAAACTACTAAAACATTGTAGTGCGGTGAAAAATATTTGCAAATCATACTCAATTGACTCGGAACACTGCAGTCCTGATTTAATTAAGGGTATTATTAAAAAGTACTCGTGCAGTAATCAACTAAACAGGGTAACGAATTGAAGGATAGATACAACTAGGGACCACTAGACGGAGGGACCACTAGTCGTAGGGACTACTAGTCGTAGGGACAACTGGTCGCATCCGTACTAGTACAAGTACAAGCTAGGTGATACTACTTGTCGGTGGGATACACGTCTAGTTGTACCTACGTCTACTTGTACCTACGTCTAGTTGTACCTCTTAAAAATCTGCAGGTACAACTAGTCGGGTATGCCACCGTCTACTTGTACCTACGTCTAGTTGTACCTACGACTAGTTGTCCCTAGGGTTCGAGGTACAAGTAGACGTAGGTACAACTAGACGGAGGGACAACGAGACGCGGTCCCTCGCGAACTCATTCACGTTTATCCCACCTTACACCTTTAAACAAAATTTTATCAAAATCAGACAAAAATTATTCGTTATCGCGTTCACGGACACTTATATATTTATATCTATATATATATATACAGGGCGACAAAAAAGTCTGGAAACGGATTATCTTTTCAACTAAATCCGTTAGAAAATTCAAACCTTTCACATAAACTTATATGCATGAAAACTACTTTTTCCAAGCTTTATAATTGTTTACCTCTACCAGGGGACGACCCATGAGGAGTAAGTACGTAATCTTTATTGTAAGCATAGGTTGATATGCACATCATTTTAAAAGGTTAGTCAAGTGGAGTTATTTGCCGGAAACCGCGTCTCAAAAGGTTCCATCGTTACAAAATAGCGGCTGTCCAAAGTTCTTGTGGAATATACCTTCACATTCCTGAGTATTAATGTAAATATTCGTATTCAACATTAGCTTGAGAGCTGAAATTGTATTTTAAAGTCAACTAGCTCAAAGACTAATATTATTCAATCTTCAAAACAAATTTAACCGGGTTTCAGATTTCCCGGCAAGTGTTGACTAAGTATATACTTAATATGAAAATTTGAAGGCATAGTGTTTTTGGTCTCTCAGGACATTAAATTTAAAGAGAAAATCTGTCCTGGGCCTAGGTATTACCATGCCACCTACTGTAATATCTACTACCCTATAGGGGAATTCGCTAAAAGAGGTGGTGTCTGTCTGTCTGTTTGTGTGTGTGTTTGTATGAGCTAACCCATGCTAAAAAAACTCCCTTCTGAACCGACTTGGCTCAAGTTGGAGTAATTGGAGACATTCGATACCGCCGTATTGGACAATGTTGGGTCATCTATAAATTCAACCAATAAACATAAAAGCTGCTTTTCCAAATGTCATAACACTTATTCACGTTCGTATAAAATATCGTAGACGGTGCCAACAGCACCATTGACTATTATAATCCTGCATTGGTCCACAAATTGTGGCGTAACATGACTCAACATCCTTCGGCTAAAGTGAGGATGTTTTCAAGAGATGTACATTCATCCGTACTTCCTTTGTGGCTATTGAAGGTTTGTTTATGGCACGAATGAATGCTACAGGACTTAGCAGCTAAGCCAATTCGTTAAGGTTGTCAGTAGCCACGATAGCACTCCGCACGGGTTCACTAGTTTTTTTTATACGAGTCGTAAAGAAAAGAATGTATAATCTTCCTCTGTTATCGTTCCATGAGCAATATTAGTAAGATCATTAAGAAAATGACTTCTGATCTTCGCCGAATTGACGCGAGATTTTAGTTTTTAGTTGAAACACTTTTTGAATGTGTTCGTATACAAAACGTTTATTTGTATACCACTGATTTGAATGATAGTATGAATAAAGCTCGATCTTGCACTGGTAGTAACTGATCCAAATCAACAAAGTGGTATACAATAAGACCACCAAATACTTCATCTTGGTCGCAGGTTTCGTCAGGTCGTCGTTGGAAAGTATAATTCGTGTATATATGCAAATACTTACGAAAGTTTGATTTTATTACATATTGGAGATGAAAAAAAAATAAACAATTATACATTTAAAACGCTTTCTTCTGAAGTTTATATTTTTAAGTTTATATTTATAGCCAACTTTTGGCTGCCTTTATTAAGTATTTTCAAGAAATTCATAGTAGTTAATTGTATTAAATTTTGTTCTCTTTCAGAATATCACCTTCCACTTTGGTAGATTTTCTCACCATTTCAAAGTTGTTAGCAAAAACATTTAAGCAACCTCCCAATTATAGTAGTGAGAAAATACCGAATTAAAGATGTTGTTGTTAAACTTTGTACCATTAAATATACAATTCTAGCGATCCGATTGTATTAATTAATAGGTCATTGGAAAGCCTAATTTGTGTAAATTTTCAAATAATTATGAAAGCTTGACTTTTTTAAGATTTACAAGGTGAAACCCGTCAAAGTCGACAGTTACTGTTGAGGTTGCAAGCAAGACCGTTTGACTATAAATCTATGATAAATAACTCCATTTTTTTACAATTTGGCTTGTTCGTGATTTAGCAGTGTGATTTAGGTACGTCTGATATTAATAATCAATAATTCAAATAGAAGCTGGTATTTTACTGAAGGTTCTTAGGTCAAAACAAATAGAATAATTTAATTAGAATTGAGTAAATATATAAAAAACTAAATTCCAAATCCAAGATATAATTTATGTTTATGTTTTCTGATTGAGCGATACAGTATCTTGAACTTAAGTGATTAAAACTATCAATATCTCAAATGAAAGCCTTTATTGCTAGATGTATTTTAAGACCAAGACAAATATAAAATAATTTAAATAAAAATAGAGTTGCGTATCATTGATTGCAGATCAGTACGAAAACGATTATAATTATTGTTGATTCGTGATTCAGAAGTGTGCTTTAGGTAGTCCGATCTTAATAATCAAAATCTCAAATTAAAGCTGGTATTTCACTTAAGGTTTTTAGACCAAAACATTTAGGGTAATGTAATTAGAACTGCTGGAATATATCTTTAGTTGAAGTAAAAAATCAAAAATACACTAGATAAATTAATGATGATGCTTGATGATAAATATGTGCTTGCAAAGCTTTATTTTAATACCAAAATTATGAAAATTGGTCAGGTAGAAGAGCTAATTAAACAAACTCGAAAAAAACAAATTTAACTCCATAAGAAATGTACAGGGAGGCAGTTTGTGCAATACTCGAAATATACTTCAAAATGAATGCCGATGCTTGATGGCAAATCTGTGGTGCGTCCATTACTTTATTTTAAGGCCAAAATTATGAAAATCGGTCGGGTAGAAGAGCTTACAATAAATTTATAGATGGCAATAATTGGTTTACCAGTATCCATAATCTAATCATCTAATCGTGTGTTAATAATTTAACAGCTTATTGTTATATTGTTATTTAATAGATTTTTCTTTGATTCAATGTTGTTTTTAACAATTTGCATTTGTGTTTAAGTGTGTCTCTTATGTTAAGTGTGTGATTCTAATGTTATGTGCTTAATCTGTACCATTCCTCCACGTATCTTCGTCTATTTGCACAAACACTCGTTTGTAGCCTACAATGTTACCCACAATGTAACTAGTTAGCTTTATTTTTTAAATTGTTGTTGCAATTCCAGCGCAAAAGGTATCATTTGGACCATTGTTTGTACATCCAGGTGTCTAAATCCTAATCACTTACTCAATTAAATGTGTTATAATTTTGGATAAGATTAATGATTTATGGTTTTATGTTACAGACAAGGAACTGCAACTGAAGTGGAAAAATATCAGAGACGGATACATGAGAAATCTCAAAAGACAAAAGCAAAAATCAAGCGATGGCACAAAAGGTGGCAGACAATATGTATACGCGAAGCAAATGGAATTTTTGAAAAACACGCTATCCATCAGTCTTGCTGAAGATTTTAGTGCCAGCGACTTTCTTCAGTCAGATGTGTTTGTTAACATTGAAGAACCACAAATTGCGAATTCGAATACAGAGTTACATCGTGCCCCCTCTGCTAGTACAGTCTACAGAAAAAGTAGGAAACATCTAGAAGAGAATATACAAAAGTGCATGTCAGTCATGACAAAACAGACTGAAGAAACGTTGACGCAAGAAAAAGACGATGACTATAATTTCCTACTGTCAATTTTGCCGACTATTAAGAAGTTCAGTGACATTGACAGATTGAAACTTCGATGTGATATTTTACAGCTGATTATAAAGTACAAGGAACAATCCACGAGCACAGTCCAACCTACGTCACAGTTTTCTGCTGAAAGACAATCGGGACTTGACACTGGAAATCGCAAATTAAAACTTGAACAGTCACCAAGTAACCTCAAAAGACGGCGGTCAGGACGTGCAGCTACAGTGACATCTAGATCTATCGCAATTGAGGAAACAAGTTCTGGTGATGAAGACCTATCTTGAGCAAAGACTCTTCTCCAGACAGTTTCCCGCACACTGATTAAAATTACTCGTTGTTATCGTTGTGAAACATACTGACAGGCTGCAACCTAATACTTTTCCAAATACATTTTTATTTGTCAGATTCACAAGGTATTACTTATTGTATAGTTTTTTTTTTCTTAAGTTACATAAACTCGCCATTGTAATTACAAAGTAGCCGTTACGTGATGTTAATTTGTCGTTAACAAATATTACGGAAAGTAAATAAAGATACGTCTTATAACACTTAAAACATATATTTACGCTTATACTGTTACTCACAAGACGGTAAATATACAAAAGATGGTAAGTGGTGATCAGACCCAATAGGCGAATGTATATTTACCGTCTTGTGGGTAATATATGTTTTAAGTGTTATAAGACGTATCTTTATTTACTTTCCGTAAATTTAATAACACGTACAATGCTGATCAAGAAGTTATTTAACAAATATTGCAAATAATGTTGCCTATGACCTGTATGATGACTTTTACATTGTTTTAAAAATTAAATAGTTTATGGAATTTTTCACTCAAACGAATTCTTGTTTTGCCTTACCTCAGTACCAATGCAATAATTTCCTCAGAAATAAATGCCAGGTGTCATATATATTGTTTAAATATATATTGTTATAATTTACTCAATGCTAATAATTGTATATCTTATTTTATGTTGTTCAAACTGGACTTTATGTTTTGTTATGTTGGCGACCTGTAACGTTCAATTCACTGTCATCCAATGTAACTATCGTCCTTCTCAATTATAATGGCTGACTATGCAGATCGTCTTTTATTGATGAAGCCCTTTGCTCAAACTTAAATATATTAATTTAAGACATGGCGCAGTCGCCAGCTTCTATATTTTCTAACGAAATGTGTAGTAAAGTGTTAAAAGTTATTAAAACTCTTGGATAATGGGCAAAGGTGAAGAAAATGTTAAAAGTAATGAAGGTGAGCCTGAGCCTACACGAAAACCGGTACATCAAACAGGTAACTCCAGTTCCAGTAATGTAATTAGGCATCCTACAGAACTATCATGGAATGGAAACATGGGAGAAAATTGGCGTTTTTTCAAACAAAAATTCCAAATATATTTAGCTGCTAGTAGATGCACTGATGAGAACAGTGAATATAAAATAGCACTTTTGCTGAATTCCATTGGTGATAGGGCTTTGAAGATATTCAATAATTTCACGTATGATCCTGCTGATGATAAGGACAATTTTGAAACTGTGCTCAAGAAATTCGATTCTTATTTTTTACCTGAAGTAAATGAAACGTATGAGCGTCACACCTTTTTCTTAAGGGAGCAGAAACCAGATGAGACAGTAGATCAATATGTAACAGATCTTAGAGACTTGAGTAGTTCTTGTAATTTTGGTACACTCACAGACAATTTGATAAGGGACCGGATCATTTTAGGGATCAGGGACAGAGCCATTAAAGATCGTTTGCTACGAGTTAAGGACCTAGACCTCAATAAAGCATTAGAAGTGTGTAGAGCTGCGGAACGTACCAAAACTCAGTTAGCCGATATTTGTCCAAATAATGAAATGTGTAAAGTTACAAAATTCAGGCAACTTAAGGACGGTTCCGGTAAAAGTGTTAGTAGGCCTAGTGGATCTAAGCCTAATTGGTCCAAATATAGTGACAAGCAGACTCCTGGGACTTGGAATAGAAATAAGTTTCAGAAGCCTTGTAGTAAATGTGGGTATGAACATCCGCGCTTTAAATGTCCGGCTTTTGGAAAGCGCTGCAACTATTGTAAGCGATCTAATCATTTTGCTTCTCAGTGTAGAAATAATAAAGCAGTGAATTCGGTTGAAACCGGTGAAGATTTTTTCATTGATGGAATTGAAGCGAACTTTGTTAACAAACTTTCACAAAGGCCCGGCCCTTCGGAGGAAAAAGAATGGACTGTAGATCTAGAAATTAACCATAACCGTATTTCCTTTAAACTAGACACTGGAGCTCAGGTTAATTGTTTAAATGCCAGTGTTCTAAAGCGAATAGGCCATGATTTGCATAATTTAACGCCTTCATCCAATAACTTGTCAACTTACACAGGTAATAAAATTGATGTTCTGGGTATTTGTAACCTATATTGTTTTTACAAAAGTAAGAGACACCTCATACCATTTTATGTTGTTGATGGCAACTCTTCATGTCTGTTAGGGTTAGAATCATGTAAAATTCTGAACCTTGTTTGTAAAGTTGATCAGGTAACTAAGCCTAATAGTGAATGCACCGCTAATACAAGTAGGCCTATGGTAGATGATTGCAACAGTCAATTGAGTATTCTTGATCAATATCCCGACATTATTCAAGGTATTGGTTGTTTAAAGGGTGAATATGTAATAACATTGAAAGAAAATTGTGTTCCAAAGATCCATCCACCGAGGAAGGTCCCATTTAAAATCAAACCTCTTTTGAAAAGTAAATTAGAGGAACTTGTAAAATTGGAAATCATTGAAAAAGTAGAAAGACCTACTGATTGGGTTAATTCTTTAGTGTTGGTTCATAAAAAAGATGGTGACCTTCGTTTGTGTATGGATCCGAAAGATCTCAATAAGGCAATAATGCGTCAGCATTTCCAACTTCCAACACTTGATGACATAACTGCTAGCCTAGCTGGTTCAAAAATGTTCAGTACATTAGATACTAAGTGCGCTTTTTGGCACATAAAACTTTCTAATGAAAGTAGTGATTTGTGTACTTTCAATACACCGTTTGGGCGATACCGCTTTTTGAGAATGCCATATGGTTTGTGTTCGTCCAGTGAAGTCTTTAGTCTTAAAATAAGTCAGATTCTTGAAAACGTTGATGGCGTTGCAGTTTATGTAGACGACATAATTGTGTATGGTAAAGATAAATCAGAACATGATATGAGGTTGAAAGCAGTGCTGGATAAGTTAAGGTCTGAAAACATTAGGCTGAACAAAAACAAATGTAAGATAGGGGTGAGTGAAATAAAGTTTTTAGGCCATTGTATTAATGGAAATGGTATATCAATTGATTGTGATAGGGTGAAAGCCATATTAGAAATGGAACATCCTAATGATAGGAAATCCTTAGAAAGATTTCTAGGTGTCATTACATATGTAAGTAAATTTGTACAGAATATTTCCAATCTAACTGCCCCCCTCAGGGTCTTGTTGAAAAAAGATGTTGACTTTGTGTGGTCGTTTGAACAGGAAGAATCGTTCAAACAAATCAAAGACATTTTGTCTAAAAAACCAGTTTTACAATTTTTTGATGAAAAATTGCCCGTAGTCTTATCATGTGATGCGGCTAAAGATGGGCTTGGAGCTGTACTATTACAAAATAATTTGCCAGTAGCCTATTCATCTAAAGCGTTAAGTCCTACTCAACAGGCTTACGCCCAAATAGAAAAAGAGCTGTTAGCTGTACTTTATGGTTGTATGAAATTTCACCAGTTTCTGTATGGTTCACGGTTTGTTGTCGAATCTGATCATTTGCCGCTAGTTTCTATCATGAAAAAGAACATTGAATCATGTTCACCACGGCTTCAAAGAATGATTATCAAGTTACAAAAATATGATTTTGAACTAGTTTATAAAAAAGGAAAGGAATTGTATATAGCTGACACTCTGTCACGTGCGTGTGACAAAAATGATAATGGTGATGTAATTATTGATACAGAAGAGCTTGAAGCTCATGTTAACTTAGTAGTAAGTAATGTAATTTCAGATGTACAGTTGGGTAACATTGTTAAAGAAACTGAGAGTGATCAAGAGTTGCAAAGTGTGAAATCCTATGTACTTGAAGGTTGGCCTAACCATAAAAATTATTTACCATGTGAGGTTAAACCCTATTGGAATGTACGCGGTGAGTTAGCGTATACTAGAGGTATGTTACTTAAGGGTACAGCAATAGTTATACCTAAGAAATTAAGGCATGAAATGTTGTTGCGCTTGCATTATTCACACTCAGGTATTACAAAAACTCAACTGAAAGCCAAGAATGTAATTTATTGGCCAAATATAAATGTTCAAATACAAGATATGGTATCAACATGTGAAACTTGTATCAGGTACTCTAGTAATAACATGAATGAACCCTTGAAGCCACATGAAGTCCCAACATTCCCTTGGAAAAAATAGGTGCTGATCTTTTCCAACTAGGAGACCAATGTTTTCTGTTAGTTGTAGATTATTTTTCTAAGTACCCAGAGCTTGTAAAACTTGGTAACACTAGTAGTTTGACTATAATAAGTCATTTGAAGGAGATCTTTGGTAGACATGGTATACCCAAGGTAGTATTCACAGATAATGCTACACAATTCACGAGTGAAAGTTTTGTTCATTTTAGTAAGACTTGGGAATTTGAACATCACACGTCTTCCCCTCATTTCCCACAGTCTAATGGGATGGTGGAACGTTGTGTCCAATCAGTCAAATCTTTGTTAAAGAAATGTAAATATGATAAAACTGATCCATTTCTTGCTTTGTTAGAGTTTCGCAATACCCCATTGTCGAGTGATATTCCATCACCTGCAGAACTGTTGTTTAACAGAAAGATTAGAGGTATTGTTCCAGGGCAAAGTAGTAACTTTAGGCCTAAGATGAATTCCAATGTACGGCGTAAACTTCTACAGAGACAAGCAACTCAAAAGATGTATTTTGATAGGAAAACTCGGAATCTCCTGAATTGTATGACAATCAACCTATTCTTGTAAAACATGAAGGTAAATGGATTAAATCCAAGGTTGTTTCTAAAGATAAGAAAAGGCCAAGGTCTTATGTTGTAATGTCAGGTACAGGTTGTGGTACACTTGTTAGAAATAGATGTCATATTAAGCCATTAGGTAATAAGACAATGCCAAGATGTCATATTGAAACTGATTATGTCGATGACGACAACCTCCATTTTCCAACCGATGTTGACCATCCTAAGGCGAAAACGCCACATCCCTCTCCGAGCAAAACCCCTCCGAGGAAAGAGAAGAGTCCTTCTCCTCTTGTTAGTGATAGGTATCAAACAAGATCAGGTAGATTTGTAAAACAGCCTAATAGAATTGATTTGTAATGTATAGTCTACACTTAGTAGTGAGGTTATGTAGGCCTATAGCCTATTAGTCTATGA